AGAGCACTCAAGAACAGAAAGACCAGATAAGACTTTGCTAGAAAACATCTAAAAAATCGTGCCCAGTTCTGGAACAAGATTCTTTGGACAAATGAAACCAAGATTAACTTGTATCAGAATGATGGGAAGATTAGAACATGGAGAAGGAAAGGAAGGGCTCATGGTCTGAAGCAAACCACATCACTGGTTAAACATGGTGGAGCCAGTGTTATGGCATTGGCGTGTATGGCTGCCAATGGAACTGGGTCACTGGTGTTTATTGATTATGTGACTGTTGATAGAAGTAGCAGGATGAATTCTTAAGTGTATAGAGCTATACTTTCTGCTCAGACTCTATTAAGGGCATCAAAACTGATAAGACAGCACTTCACGGTGCAGATGAATAACGACCCAAAACACACGGCGAAAGCAACTCAAGAGCTTCTTAAGGAAAAGAAATGGAATGTTCTTAAATGGCCGAGTCAGTCACCTGACCTCAACCTGATTGACCACGCTTTTCACTTACTGAAGACAAAACTGAAGGCAGAAATACCCACAAAAAAACAGCAACTGAAGGCGGCTGCAGCGAAGGCCTGGCAAAGCATCTCAAGGGAGGAAACTCAGCATTGGGTGATGTTCGTGGGCTCCACACTTCAGGCAGTCACTGACTGCAAAGGATTTGCTTCCAAGTATTAAAAATAATTCTTGTATTTATAATTATGTTTGTCCAATTACTTTGTAAAAATGGAGGGATTATGTAAAAAAGTGGCATAATTCTTAAAGGTTGCAATATTTGGGTCAAATTTCTTGAATTAAAGCTGAATGTCTACACTTCAAACACATCTTGGCTGCTTCATTTCAAATCCATTGTGGTGGTGTAGAGAGGCAAAATGGCAAAATCTGTGTCACTGTCCAAATACTTATGGATCTGACTGTAGGTCATAGAAATGACAGTGGTAGAAGTAGTAGAAATGAGACTCCCAGCATTGCTAGACTAAAGCAGAATGTGGTCATGGTGGTTTTTAAACCACATGAAGTGCCAAATGGTGAGTTTTCCTTAGTGAGACTTTTCTGCACAGCGGTTTGAATGAATAAGTGCAGCAGAATGTAACCAGCTCATTTTTTCCGTCCTCCCTACAAAAAAATCCCAATGACAGAAAAAAATATGGTCTTGCCATTTCGCCGTCTGCGTTAGTGTTTAAAGGTGAAGCGCAGGCATTTTCCCAAGCTAAACATGCTAACTATAGCCTGCTATGTTGAACCCCAGTTCCACATTCTCCTTGTTTCCCTCTCAGTTCTTTCTTTAGCACAAAGATTAATGTGCTACCGACATCATATTCTAGCCAAAGAAAAGCAGGAATGTATTTTATATTGTCCACCAAACTTTTTAATGGGGAACTCATAGCCTTTCTTCTTCTTCTTCTTCTTAGCTTCAATGTAGCTAGACTGTTTTAGGCTAACTTAAAGTGCTAATGGGTAAACACAGAAAAATGTATGGCCAAAGAACAAACTCTCAAGTCACAAAATGAAATGGTTTAATATGTAATCTGTTTCCCAGTTCCACTATATTTCCAATACAATGCTAAGAATACAATTCTAGGATATAGTTGTCTTTCATACTGTGTTAAACTCATGGGCATTTCCCTCAGTGGAGGAAGGTGCCCTCCACACTAGTACTGATATTTCTTTTACAATGGTTAAGATTAACCAGGTTTAAACTGGAGGTTGTCTGTATGTGAAGCACAAGGGTTCATCAAGTGTAAAGAGATTAAAGGGGAATTCCACAGACTTTTAAAATTGTCTACATAATGGATAAGATATGAACAGTCTTTGCTGTGCTCCATTCAGAATTGTTCACAGAATTGTGGTGGTGATAGGAACCAGACGTCTGAAAGCCACATCACAGAGAGATATTACATGGAATTATTATGAATACACTACTTAATGCCTGACACATTGTTGTAGAGTAGATATGAAAGAAGATTTGATACATTTTTAAAATCATGGTGAAGGCATTGTAAATTTATAGTGACATTTTTACACACACATATATATATATATATATATATATATATATATATATATATATATATATATATATATAGAATATATAGAAATACACGCACATACATATATATATGTATTTCTATATTTACATCTCATTTCTTGTTTACATCTCAAGGACTGATGTATGCAGATATGCTAAAACATCAGTGGAATTCGCCTTTAAAGGAGAGATAAAACGTTGTTGCTTGTTGGAATCGTGGGAACAGACATTGTTTTGTGTTATGCCCTTTTAGTTGTGCCTTTATTTATAGGCCAGGCCAAACAACTCTAGAGCAAGATGAATGTCTGCCAGCAGAAATGTTTAGAATTTCATGCTTATCAGTTAGACAAAGCACATTAACTTCAATTAATGGGTAGCTGGCATTAAAGCATGAATGAGACACAGTAGCCTACAGTTGAACTGCTCTCTCTCTCTCTCTCTCTCTCTCTGCTTCTTTCTCCCTCTCCCTCTCCCTCTCTCTCTCTCTCTCTCTCTCTCTCCCTGCTTCTTTCTCCCTCTCTCTCTCTTGTTTGCAGCCTTGTAGGGTGTGTCTGTGTGTGTGTGTGTGTGTGTAAGATGAGTGCATGGGTCTGAAAGTGAGCTGTGCTTCTGTGGATTGAATAATGTATTCCTCTGATGCTCAGCCTCTCTCTGCTTACAGCTTTTACCAAGCTTATCATGACAGTGCATTAGGATGATCTGATCTGATCTCTCTCTCTCTCTCTCTCTCTCTCTCTCTCTCTCGCTCTCTCTCTCTCTCTCTCTCTCTCTCTCTCTCTCTCTCTCTCTTTGTACCTCCCACCCCTTCTTCCTCTTCCATGTTCTGTTTTCTCCTGGTCAAATAAAATGTTACGTTTTTATTATTTTCAGTTGTGTTATTGTTGTTGTTGTGTAGTGTGTGTGGTGTTCTTGATTTTATGTCACTTGAAGTGGAGGCATGTGGAATGTTTGTTAGCTGTTTTCACTCGTCTGTCTGTTCCTTTGGTCTACTCTGTGCTGGGTTAGATTTTAGACTTCATCTTCTTAAGTAATGTCTGTCACTGAATCCCCTCCTCCTTCCTGAAAAATTCAGCATGGGCTAACTAAGTGCCAGCATCCATCCGTCCATCCATGTCCATCCATCCGTCCATCCATCCAGCCATCCATCCATTATTTCATTACTCCTTCCACCACTAAATAAAAGAACTGATGCCACTGCTACCATTGAAAATAGGAATTAGATTATTTTTGCATTTTATTTGCCATATTAGCGTTTTTATGTATGTCACTTGAGGTTTTCAGGGCTTCGGAGGTCAGTGTGGGTGCAGTCTGAATGCAGTCTGGAAACAGCATGGGTCCAGTTTGGGTACAGTCTGGATGCCGTTTGGATGCAGTCTAGGTACAATCTATGTGCAGTCTGGGTACAGTCTGGATGCAGTTTGGGTACAATCTGGGTACAGTCTGGATGCAGTGTGGGTGCAAAATGGATACAGTCTGGAAAGAGCACAGGTGCAGTCTGGTTGCAGTCTGAATGCAGTGTGGGTGCACACTGGATGCAGATTGGGATCAGTCTGGATGCAGTGTGAGTGCAGTCTAGATGCAGTGTGGAGGTAGTGTAAGTGCAGTTTAGATACAATCTAGGTGCATTACGGATGCAGTTTAGGTACAATCTAGGTACAGTCTGGATGCAGTGTGGGTGCAGTCTGGTTGCAGTCTGAATGTAGTGTTGGTGCACACTGGATGCAGTTTGAGTGCAGTCTGGATGCAGTATGGGTGCAGTCTGGATGCAGTGTGAGTTCAGTCTGGATGCAGTGTGAGCGCAGTCTGGATGCAGTGTGGGTGCAGTCTTGATGCAATGTGAGTGCAGTCTAGGTGTGGTGTGGATGCAATGTGAGTGCAGTCTGGATGCAATGTGAGTGTAGTCTAGATGTGGTGTGGATGCAGTATGGCTGCAGTCTTGATCTGGTATGGGTGCAGTCTGGATGCAGTGTGGATGCAGTCTAGGTGCAGTCTGGATGCCAGGGGGGTGCAGCCTGGATGCAGTTTGGGTGTAGTTTGGATGCAGTCTAGATGCCGTCTGGATGCAGAGTGGATGCAGTCTGGATACAGTTTGGGTGCAGTCTAGGTACAGTCTGGATGCAGTATGGATGCATTCTAGGTCCAGTGTGGGTGCAGTCTGGATACAGTCTAGGTACAGTGTGCCTGGATGGTTTAATGAGGAAATGAGTGTGTGGTAGAGAAGGAAGGGTGTTGGTGTGAAAGCAGTGAGGGGTTTAAGGCAGGGCTGTTAATGTTTCCATGATTTGTTCAGCAGTAATGCTTGTTTCCTCTAGGCTGCTGTACAAATCTCTCGCTCTCTCACATACACAGCTTGTGTTTCCCTTTAGTGTGTGTGTGTGTGTGTGTGTGTGTGTGTGTGTGTGTATTAGTGAGTGAGTATTTACTGGAAGGAAATTCAAAGTTTTTTTCTCCTCCTTTTTCTTATTATCTCTCTCTTATATTTTATTTTCTATCTCTGCTTCTTTTTCTCATTTTATTTCTCTCTCTACTTTTTGCCTACTTTCTTTTTTCTTTTTAAATTTCTCTTTTCTTTTTGCTTACTTTCTGTCTCCTTTTCTTTTCGCTAACTTTCTCTCTCTTTTTAGTTTGCCTCTCCTTCTTTTCCACTTCTTTTTTCTAACTTTTTCTCACTTTTCTCTTTCTTTTTTCTTACTTTCTCTCCCTCATTTTCTTTTTTGAACTATTTTTCCCTCCTCATTTTTTCTTTCTTTCACATATTTTTCTTTCTCTCTTCTTCTTTTTATTATTCCTCTCTTAAGTTTTTTTTCACTGTCATCTTTTTTTCCCTCTCTCTCCTCATTCCTCTCTCTCTCCAGTTGTTTTCTTCCCTCTCTCCTCCTTTTTTTGCTCTCACTCTCTTTTCTTTTTTTTCTTACTTTCCTTATTTCTTTCGACTCCTTTTTTCGTTCTCCTCCCTCTTTTCTTTCTCTCTTCCTTTTTTCCTACTTTCTCTCTCTTGGTCTCTCCTCCTTCTGGGCTCTCTTCATCCATCTGGCTGGGTCTGCCTCCTCAGACACTTCAACTGTGCCACGCACTCCTTTCTCCACATCTCTCGCTCCTTTTTTCCTTGTCTTCCCTCTCCGTCCATCTCTCCGTTTCTCTCTCACTCCGTCTGTCTCTGTTTCACTGTCTGTCCTCACACGGCCAGTGGTCAGCTGGGCTCTGGTTGGGGGGAAGTGCGTGTGTGGGGGGGTGTTTGGTTTCTTCCACAATGGAAACTCAATCAGGAAACAGAACAGAGGAGTTGAAAGGAGCAGGACACACGCGGGCCGCTGACGCCAAAGAGGACCTGCAGGAGAACAGGCACATCGAAAGGTTCGACATACCACTGACTAGCCTCAAGAACATGTTTGAGAAACCTCCCGCACACAGCACGGTGAGTTAGTGTGTGTTTGTGTGTGTATGTGTGTGTGGGAGACTGCTGAGTCAGACAAATTTAACCCCCTTAACCTGCATGTGTATCAGTTCCTTCAATACCTCACTAATTACACATTATATAATAACTTATATAATAGGTTATATATTAGTTTCATAGTAGGTACTGAATTATTTATAGTATTTACTGAATGACAAGTCCTAAAGAGCCCATACCCTACATTTTTATTATATTTAAATTTTCCCCCTGGTCCATTTATAATGCATGTGTGGGTTTCTGTACCAAAAACAGTCATAATTAAATTTTACATGACAATTTTCCAACCTCTCTATATCCCTTAAAATTAAAAAGACTGTTTGTGTTACTGTGTCTTTAAGAATAAGAGATGTAAATGATTGGCTGCCCTGTGTTGTGCCTCAGTCAAAAAGCAGTCTGGGCTGAAACAGTCCATAGAACTTCAGCATGAAAAAGTGGGTTTGACTGCTGCCGGCCAAACAGACAGAAATACTGTTTTTGTGACATCACAAAAACAGTGTATTCAAAATGGGCTGTTTTTGCAGCTTACTTTCTGTGTATAGACTGTATGGATTGGAAGTGGACAGTGCACTTCAAAATTTTAGCTCTAAAGCTAACTCTTTTATTTGAAAAATGTGATGATATGGGCACTTTAACACTCCAAAATATATATTTTGCCAATTATCTAAAATCTAGTTGATACATCTAATACACTGTTACATGTGAAAGTTTGGGCAACCCTGGTCAAATAACATGCTTTGTTGATCTTCTAAATGAAAAGAGGTTAACACTATCTGCCTGGAGCAGACTTAAATACATATTTCTACCTTTTTACACAATTACACATGATTTTTTACTATTTTTATACACAATTACCATTTTATTTGCTATGCAAAAATTTAAGTCTCAGAGCTCATTTGATGCATTAGGCTATAACCCAAGTCAGGGCTAGGCAGTTCCAGACCCTTTAAACCTCCCAGGGCGAGGTGCTTACATTCAACAGCCATGGCCACCTCTAAGCAGCTGGCTGAAGGTCAGAAAAACTAAAGATAATTTAATCTTACAAAGCAACAAAAGACTTCTAACCACTTTCTGCTTGAAGTTTTCAATTCCTGAGTTGTCTTTAAGGAACAGAAGTTACTGGGAATTGTTGAAGTCAAGGAATGATCTGAAAGACCAAGACAAATCTCAGATAAATCTGCTTTTAGACTGGTAAGTTATGCAAAGCAAAACCCCCACAACATTGCTAATGACCTACATGAGATTTAGTTGGCACGAGAATAGTGACGCACTAGTCCACTGTGCAGTGTTGTTGTTGTCATCAGAAGTAAACATGAATTGTGATCTCATCACAAAAGTCAACATCTGAAGTATGTAATACAACAAGAGGATAAACCAGAGGCCTTTTTAAATCCAGCGCTGTGGTCTGATGAAACAAAAATTGAATGTTATGTTTGGATACCTTGCCAGTTGTTAAGTGTGAGGGTGGATCTATTATGCTTTGGGGTTGTGTGGCAGCCTGGGGCACAGGAAATGTTTTGAGGATAGAGGAAAGAAAGAATTATACTAAATATGAATAAAAGAACAAAAACAGAAGTCAAAACATGCATCATCCCATCATCAGCCATACATACATACATACATACATACATCATCTAAACCGCTTATCCTTCTGGGTCGCAGTGGGGTGCTGGAGCCTATCCCAGCTGTCATTGGGTGGAAGGCAGGATACACCCTGGACAGGTCACCAGTCCATGACAGGGCAGACAGACAGACATACACATTCACACACTCACACCTAGGGGCAATTTTAGCATGTCCAATTGGCCTGACTGCATGTTTTTTGGACTGCGGGAGGAAACCGGAGTACCCGGAGGAAAACCACGCAGACACGGGGAGAACAGGCAAACTCCACACAGAAATGACCCTGGTCATTCGGCCGGGAATCGAACCCAGGCCATTCTTGCTGTGAGGTGACAGCGCTACCCACTGCGCCACCGTGCTGCCATCAGCCATACATGATCACTCAAAATTAATATTAAACTACTTCAAGAAACAATAGGTTTAAAGGCTTTGGAATGGCCTTCACTATCGCCAGACTATCTTGTATTAAAATCTGTGTCTCAAACACAGTGTGCATGCAAGACAACCTATAAATATATTTGAACTTGAAACATTATGCAGGGAACAGCGGAAAAATAACTCTTCAATCATAAAATAAAAGACTGTTAGCTACAAGAAAGATTTGGTGGCTCAGATTTCAGTGAAAGGGGGTCCTATTAAGTACTGACTGAAAGGGTGAAGAAATATGTCATATATAAGTTTGTTTCATGCAGACGTGGTGTCATTTGAGCAGTGGTGCCCAAACTTTTGCATACAGCTGTATCTCATCATGAGATAAACATATATTTAACAGACAATTACACAGAAGCCTCAACAACTAAACAGAATATCATAGTGTGCCCACTCTTAGCCTTTATTACAGCTTCTGTTCCTATCAGGAGACTTGATTTCAGTTATTCAAAGAAATCTGCAGGGATATTTATTCACACCTACAAAGTTCAGTCTTAGAAGTTGGTTATATTTTCTGCTTCTCACAAACCAAGTAATCCTAATTACATTCAGAGATCCAAATAAAGCTGCCATAATTAATTGCATTATTTCTTGAAATGAGTAAAATTGTCTGCCAGTGGAATAAATCTCTAGATAACATTACTTGAATAGAACTAGGTTGAATAATCTTACAATATTTTTACAACTATCTACTAATGAAAAATATTAGATATATTGACTAGATTTAAGATGATTTCACTTTCTACGATATCAAATTTTTCAGTGAACCCCTAAAATTCTAGATTCACTATTACTATGAGCTTATTATTGCATTATTTTATTAATAAACATTCAGTAACTGTTATAAATTATTTTGTATCTGCTATACAACTAATATATTAAGTTAATTGTTACACTCAAAGGTTCTTAAGTGAAACGATTTTTCAGATTGATGGAGAATGTGTTGTATATGGTTCTATATAGCACCAAAAAGGGTTCTTCTATTCTCACAATGTCAGGCTTGTAACAATAGCGGAACTCTTTTTCTAAAAGGTTCTATATAGAACCATGTATAACACATTCTCCATCAATCTGAAGAATCATTTCACCTTACAAAGAACGCTTTAAGCATGTAAACGGTTGTACATTGGTATAAAACCTTTACATGTGTTGGTTCTTTAAACTGTTGAAATGGTCTTCACACTCACACATCTCTTTTCAAACGGTTCTTTAGGGAGCCCAAAGTGGTTCTTCTGTGACATAAAGAAGTCTTTGTGGCGAAGCCTTTTTTAAAGAGGGGATTCATAACTGGATAATTAGCATAGAGTTCAGGGGGTTAATGAAGTTTGATCGTGCTTGGATCCCTATGCATCCAACTTTTTACAACGACAGCGCTAGACTCAGAGTTATGTTGATCTTTCATTCAAATTTATACATTTAGATTGCAGCAGGGTTGTGAGGCGAATAGTGGAGAAAGAAAGAGTGTATGTATGAGACAGAGAGAGAGAGAGAGAGAAAGAGAGAAGGAGAGTGAAAGAATGGAGCACAGGGCACCAACTGTTTTTCTTTTGTCATTGCACAACTTACACAGTCAGTAGCCAAACTCAATCTCTCATGATTTCCTCATCTGATTTTGACCCCTCTCCTCCCACACGGAGCACAGGAGGGATCACTTTGTTCTACTTGGAATCACTGATACAAATTTAGTGGGGGTGGTGGGGTTGGGGGACATGTTCTTTCCACTTTTTGGAAATTTTGCAATATATTTTGTATGTTGCAAGAAGGTTGTCAAAAAAAGTACATGGCTGATTTGCATTATTCTAGAGCTGTCAGTTACATTTCAGAACTCGGATTAAGGCTAAAATAGATTTAGTTGCTGTGTTTTGTTTGTTTAAAGCGTGAGATATCAATATGGTACGCATAATTTTGGTATACTTTGTTTAGTCATTTTTACATTTAAATTGCTGTATGTAAGCTATAGCCTCCTAATGCCTGTTCACCCACTTCTCAGACCAAATTTACATCCCTAAATACAAATTCATGTATTTATTAAAGGCTGTATTGAATTGTATTGAAATTCAAACTGTATCATCAGTACAGCTCTGGGTCCTTTCTAGTGGTCTTTCATTTGCCTTTTTTCATGGAAACCAAATTGAAAATTTGAAAAAAATTGAAAAAAAATTGAAAATTAGTTACACAGTTAATGCTTATATATCGCTGTTTTCAGAAGAAGACCTCATATCTCAAAAATGATACCTTTACAGGAGAAGGAAAAACCCACTGTACTTTTAATGTAAGTCAATGGAACCAGACCTTTTTCTAAGTCATTTTGGGACATTTCTTTTTGTGGGGTTGGGGGGGGGGACTCCCAGCCTCGAATGACTGTGGCATCACCGGGGACAAACTCTCAATTTCCTAAGAGCCAACAGTTAGATGGTTGTGCCACTCAAGAACAAGAGCATTATTTTGCACAAGGATATGCTGCTCTACAGTCTTTTGCCCTGAAATACATTTGTATTTCTCTGAGCCAAACCAGCCTGTGTAGTAAATAATAAGCGATCTGTAAAATCAAACCATTTTAACATATAAAATATTGGCTATTGAACTAAATCTTTATTTCAAAATTGAAATTGAAAAAATCATATCGATCCTGCGAGTATGTGTGTTGTTACGTCCTTATTATTTATCTATTTGTTTGTTTTCTTGTTTAAAACATTTTAGTTTAGGGATGCACAAAGTGTTTAGCCACCTAACATTTACAATCAGAAAAACAAAAAAATTAAACAGACCTGTGATGAAGTGTCAAAAACCGCTTAACAAATAATCTGAACAGCAATGAAAATGAGAAATAGTGAATAAAAACACACTCTTCACTCTTTTGATGAATACAACAGCATTCAAACAGTTTGAGCATCATCAGATCAACAGTGAAA